ATAATAATAATAATAATAATAATAATAATAATAAAATTCATCATATAGTCAGGCGATCGATCAATCAATCAAATAATACAAGATAAAATGAAAAGTCACTGCACAGACCTGAGTGTCAAATAAGCGACCTATATGTTTCCCTCACGCTTTCGATAATTTGAATTTAAATCCTATAGTATTTCATAAATATATAACCTCTTTTATACGAAAATTTACACAGCGTTAATATTTGTTAGTATTTATTTTAATTTACTATGGAAGTAGGATATCAAGTGCATAAAAATAACAACACAAGACATTAGAACAGTTACTGTAGATAGACATTTTAAATATAGAGGGTAGGTAGAGGATGAATTGGCAACAAATAGAAAAGAATAGAGAAGTATGTAACTGATAAACAATTTTTGTATCTACGGTTGGACAATTTACAAGCATAAATGGGAATAAGAATTCGTACCGGTAGTCATTAATCGTCCTATTAAGGCGCTCATGTCTGACAGCAAAGGTTGACCTTGCCTCTATGGTCATATCAAGTGTACATAATATTTACTGTATATGGTTTCCTAAAAAAACTCAACTAAGCCACTCTTGGTACAGCATTGTGGTATTTTTTTTTTAAGTGTATTATAATTATTTCTTATTAAAATGATTGTGATATTAGAACTATAGGCCTATAACAATATGATAAAGTAAGTAATAATTTTCTAGGGAATCGGGTAGAAAAATACAAAAAATGGACATGATGTAGGTCTATCACATGAACGTATACTGTTTATCATTACACTTCTATATACTTTTCTATTTGTTGCCAATTCATTCTCTACCCACCCTCTATATTTAATACCGTATATTTATCTACAATACCGTAACTGTTGTCTTTTTTTATGCACTTATGTCCTATAGTTAATTAAAATAAATACTAAAAAACCGCTGTGTAAATTTTCGTATAAAGAGTTCATATTCACGAAAAGCTATAGGATTTGAATTCAAATTATCGAAAACGTCAGGGAAAAATAGGTTGTTTTTCATTGACACGCCGATCCGTAATTTATGGTATTATTTTCTGTAAAATACATAGGACATGGATCGATCGCCTGACTATATGATGAATTTTATTATTATTATTATTATTTATTATTATTATTATTATTATTATTATTATTATTATTATTATTATATATATATATATACATATATATGTATATACTTTATATATACACTATACTATACAATTAAATATATTATTATATATATATACCTTTATAATACTATATATATACACATATTATATATATATATAATATATATATATATATAATATAATATATATATATACATGTGTGTGTGTGTGTGTATGTATGCTTTCTACTTAGCTGAAAATTTTCTAACAATCACACCAGTAGTAACAATAATATAGGCCTTCGCCTGACCATCGTATTCTTGTTGATGGGCGAACAATTAATGCTCGTATATGACAATAAATACGATCTTGAATCTTGGAGTGTAAAATGCAAGTGGGATACATTTATACGTTAAAATACTCTTCATGCATGGTGGTATAGTATCTAATTCATCGACGAATCAAATACATCGTAGTAAAGCGTTTGGGTGGTATATTAAACTTTCTGCAGCAAGATTCTTGGCAACAAATTCCAACCAATCACAGAGCAGAAAAAAAATTACTGCAGTGAGTTTAAGTTACCGCTGCAAGTTTAGCGCCCTCCATGCATATTTTGACCAATCAGAGGCCAGAGAACTCGCTGCAGTACATTTCTAATTGAACTGCAGTTCAAGAACCGTCATGCCTACTGTAATATCGCCCTCTTTCGTGCCCCTCTCTATTAAGGGAGGCTGCATAATTTTCGAAGAGCGAGTCACCGTTATTGTACTCAAAGAAAACTAACCAATAGTTTTCAGATCATCTGCACAGGTATCGTTAATTGTTTACGTAATGTTATATATCTTATCACCAATTTCTCTTGGTTTATGCTTAATGTTTAAGCTTTATATTTATGTTATGGATCTATTTCTTTTGATTTCGGAGCCTATATTATATTATGATCAGCACTATAGCACCTCCCTTAGTGGTGTAAATTTATACGTACAGTACAGACGGTCAACATCTCTCAGCCGCTATATAGTAATATTATTAAGGTCACAAGACAATCGGAATGCTTGTTGATTTAACTCGAGTACAGCAGTCTGGTATCATGAAGGTATATCGACATAAGCATAGGCCTACAGGTATTTGAAAAGGAGCCTAATTACGTCTTTCTCGTGTCGCAACTTGCAAACATTTTTTACTAAGTTAAACTGAGTTGTATCCGAAGTTAGCAAAATAAAATATGATGTTTAATAGAAATCTATGCTGTCTTTATACATAAACCTTATTAATATTTTTCAAAAAGAAATGTTTATTCAGGTCATCAATGGTGCTGTACGGAGCTTTGATCTTTGAAACTCGTGGTTGATTATTCAATTAGGCCTATATCAGAATCGATGAACCGATGGGACTACCGCCAGCTGTTCAGTACGAGGTAAGAGTCGATAGCAGTTGTTATAGCGCCTGCAGTTATCAGTTAATTAAGATAGTCTACAGATATACATAATATAGCCTACATATAGTATATATA